ATGAGAGAAATGAACATCAAAAAGAATAAAGCTAAAAAATTAAAAGGGGATTCTACGTCTACCTCGTTCTAGCGAGTCCCGGGAGGTTCACCTCGTGATTGCCAACCACCAGCTGGTTTTGGCTCCTCTCGCACTCCCTCTTGAACCGAACGGGGTAGAAAATTTTGTACCGTAGTCCTCTTTGCTACACAACGATGTCAAACTCTAAACAAACACAAACATGCAATGTAGTGGTAGAGGCTCCATCTCTTGTATTTTCGTAGATCAACCTTGTCCTCGTTTAATTCTCGCTCTTGTGCTCGTCTTCCTCGTCTTCGTCCTGCTCCTTCTTCTTCATCATTGGTCGTCGTCAACTTCAATGAATGGCTGCTCAGGGTAGTTCCATTCATAGTCATTCTCCGAGGCGGCGTAGCACGTCCCGTCCTCCTGGGAGAGCACCTTTCGCTGTTCTTCAATGGTGAGACCCCAAAGTTGAACTCCCGTGCGAATGAAATGCTGGAGACAAGTTAGACGTTTCGTGACAGAAGAGATACGAGTCTTGTACACAGTGTCTTTCATTAAAGCCACTAGCTTGGAAATGAGCGCGGAGCGACCTCCAATTATGGTCTCGATGTCGAGTCAGCTCAGACCACGATCTTCGACCTTGTGGGTTGTAAGGAAGTCCGTGAACCAACGCTTCCCGACCATCTTGACCGTGAGGTTGCGACTGCTATCTTGAGCTGGACGAGCATCGAATAGAACAACAGCTTGTCGATCGAGCTTCGAGATGTCATTCCCGGCAGGTCTTGCTTTCTTGTTTGATCGCGACGGCAGTTCCAGCTCTAGTTGTCTTGGGGACCTATCTTGGAAGTGGCGGCGACGATTCCACGACGCTGGTATCGGAGACCGAGTCGCTCGTTGTTGGATGCTGCTGAAGTGTCGGCGTACTGCAGCAGCTGAATTGGCGACCTGAGTGAACAGACCAGGCTGGTTGGTTAGTCATGGCGAGGAGCTTGTTGCGGCAGGGTCTGGTAGCAACGTTCCCACGTCAACCTTGTCCAGCAGGGTCGGCCTTTGCAACAGGGGTAACCGCTGGATTGGCTTCAAGGTAGCTTGCTTCTTCACAGCTGATTTCTTCACGGTACCTTCTTGGAAGCTGGCTCTTCTTCGGATGGAGCTTCAGCAGCAACTGGACACTTGCTTGGGCGTACCCACAAGCACCTTGCGACGGTTCTTCTGTTTGCTTTGGTTGTTTTTCAGCTGCGCTTCATGGTCGATCTCAAGATGGATTAGATATGCAACGATAATAAAATCAGGGTGTGTGCAGCTCGTGGTCGTAGCAGTCTTCTATTGTAGGTCCACTGTCGATTTTGTGAGTCTTCAAATCAAGTTGTTGTTGTTGAGCTTCCTCTGGAGCGAAACCACTTCGCAAAACCGGTGTTATTGGCGTGGTTTCTCAGCGTGGTAGTTTTGACGTCAGATGGAAATCAACTTTTTTTTTTGCGCTAGCAACGACTTGAATTTGAAAATTACAGCGTGGAGATCGCGCGCGACCGTGACATGTGACGTTGGAGTGCCCTTGTCGTGACGCAATCAATTGTGGTAGAGTTGGAGTTGGCGAAAAAGAAAAAAGGAGTTCTCCCTCTTTGGCGAGATCTAGATTGCTGCGGCAATCCAATGACGTGGCGCACCAGTAGAACGACGCCAACATCATCTTCCGCTAGCTCCAAGCGAGACAACATGCAGCTCGAGCAGAGGAGAAGAAAATATCCTACTCCGCGAGCTGAAAAAAACTGTAGCACGCTACCAGCCCATTAAACGAAGTCGAAGCCTTTGAAGACTTCTCTCGCTAAAGGTTTGGTGAACATGTCAGTCGAGCTGGTCTGTGTGTCGATTTTCGCCACCTCGAGCTTACAGGCTTGAGATGAATGCGGAATCCAATGCACCTTCACATCATAGAACTTTGAGCGAGGAGTGCTTTGACCTGGTTCCATGTTTGCCAGATTTAGAGCTCCCACAGTTGTCTTCCCAGACAGTTTTCGGTCTTTGAACGAGGTCACATCCAGTGCTCATTAATGCCCATCCTTTGGCGACAGCTTTCATGTGTTGCGCAATGGGATCGCCTCCATCATACAGTGGTCTAAGGCATAGTACTACGAGATCATGGTGCTGAGTGCGATGCTTGCTGCAGTTTGCTCGCCCAGACTATTGGACAGTCATTGAGGCAAATGCAAAAGCCCTGTCCTGCTCTTGACATTGCAGGGATCCGGCCTGTATCCTTCCGTAAGTACCCATGATAATCATGCATCCACGATAGGTCGATCCATCTTGAAGGAATCCGGGGTAATTGGCTTCATTGTGAGGCCTTTCTCCTGGGTCTTCACCAAATACTGGCCAATGCGGATCAGAGCGAGCTCATGGCTCCTCTTGGGTTGGAAAGCAAACCGGGCAGCTTGGCTGACAGCCTGCGAACGGAGGCCGATGTGCAGTACGATGTAGACATGGGATGACACAAAAGAATAAGCTAAAAATTAAAAGGGGATTCTACGTCTACCTCGTTCTAGCGAGTCCCGGGAGGTTCACCTCGTGATTGCCAACCACCAGCTGGTTTTGGCTCCTCTCGCAACCATTGGCTGGTTATGGTTCTCCAGCAGGAGGGCTTCTGTCGTGAATGACATGATTGCACATACTGGTACTACTACTGTGCAGAGAGATGATGTGGCATTGCCAACCCCATATTCACAAGCCGCTCATCCATCGTCGGTCTTGTTTGATAGCATTGACATCCACGGCGTGCCACTTCAATTTGCCGTTCGTAAATTCAAACACATTCGAATGCTGCACGATCACTTACAACGGGAAATACACGGCTACGCCATTTTGAAAGATGCGATCCGAATGGCACAACAACAACAACAGCAACGCCCGCCACTGGTCCTCGATGTAGGAGCGAATCACGGACTGTATTCACTGTTTGCGGCGAAACTGGGGGCCGACGTCATTGCCGTGGAACCCCAACAGAATCTTTGCAAACTGATAAACCGAGCGGCGCAAGAGAATAACGTAGCCGACCGGATCACGGTGTATCACAATGCGGCTCTAGATGAACACGACGAGACGATTAGCATGAAGCATGCCAAGAAAATGGACGGACAGCTGGGCACTGTCGTACGAGAGGGAGAACGAACCAATACAACACTACGAGTAGAACAACTGCACGCCTTTCGTATCCAAGATTTTGTGGCGGCATCATCAGATGGTAGTAATGGCAAACCACAACACGATATCGCGTTTCTCAAGATTGATGTGGAAGGATTTGAACTACAGGCTGCCAAAGGTGCCGCACAACTGTTCACGGCCAAGAGGATTCAAAACACGCTCGTCGAGTTTGGAGTAAGTACTACATGTAGTACGGTACGAACAGTACACGGATGTACGTTTAATGCAGTTACTTCCTGTAGTTGATTGCTTGCGTTTTGAGTTCATACTTGTGCTGACTTGCCGTTTTCGTGTCGCCTCCTAACATCGTTTGTTCTGCATCGTTCTACTTTCCCCAAAATAACATCATGATAATGCATACATTCAGCCACCAAGTCGCTGGCAGATCGATGCTGGAGTTGGACCGGAACTGGGGTTGCACTTGTTACAAGACATGTACGAGCAGTATGACACGCAGCCGCGACTTATCGAATCATTTGTATGGCCAGACTTTTTGGCAAGCATTAGCGACGATGATGCACGGTCACGGGCGGAACAGCAAAAGATGGTGCCATTGACATCGCATCAGGACTGGAAGGCACTGATCCAAGCGATGGATCATAGTGGAAAAGAAGCTTATTTATGGTTTGCTTTGGACGACAACAAGAAACATTCACCTAACGAATTCCAGACATTCCAATCAAATTGCGGCACGGATCACAATGTCAAGCGCATCATGATTGGGGAGGGAAGGAAAGTCACACGGTTTGGATGTGCTGCAGCACGTGGATGAATGGGCTCCCATGACGGATGAATGTTTGCCTATCATCCAATCCAAGCTTTCACAAGACTTGAGATGGGCAGTCAATGTTGCTGTACAACCACTATCGGTGTCCACCAGTGCCGTTACGTTGGCCTATGATCTTGAAGGTGCATGACATGATACTAGTAAGATTCATGCATGGGATTGGAGGAAGAAGAAGGTGGTCGAAAAGAGAAAGCAAAGCAGCAAGAAGACGAGTTGTCTAGCTAGAAATAGATAATACTTTTAGCAACAACGAAAGAGGAGTACATAGAGCTTTTAACGAGACCCAGCGGAAGAACGGTGAGATGGGAAAAACTAGAAGACGACTGAGGATTCGACTCCGCCGAAGTGTGGAAACGGCTAATTGGTTTGGCACCAGGTACCGTACGGGGAGAAGCAGGAAAACGCATTACAAGCATTACACACCTGAGTAGACTGGTTGGTTGTTGACTGTCAATGCTATGGCTAATAGTGAGGCTGCAACTAGAGGAGTAACTACAAACTATTTAATAATCAAAGTCAAACTCATTGTTGACTCTATCATAGTACTCCACCTGCCACATTGGCTGCTCCATGATGTGGAGCTGCACAATGTTGGCCACAGCACGAAACATCATGCCGTGCTTGTCAAGGGAATGGCGCCACCTCTGAAGGAGGCAGCCCCATTCCTTCAGCCTTCTATTGACACATTCGTGCCTGGCCCTTGCAAGAGAATAAGAGATACTAGTATCAAGTAACAATGATGTAGTGGTGTTGTAGCTGTGTAATGCGTTTTCCTGCTCCTCCCGGTAAGTGGCACATACCGATACCGGCAGCACAGAGCATATCCAATTCCACCGCTCCTTAACAGCTTTTGGTTTGATTGTGTTCGGGTCTCCGTCCGGAGCCCAGCCTTTTAGCCCCTCCTGTTAGGGACCCAGCCTGCCTACTGGTAGCTGGGTGATTCACCACCAGCTAAAGATCATTGTCGATTTCATTTCAAGTTAGTGCGCTAGAGGGATATTATTGAGATCTTAGCCTAGCTTGTAACCTGAGTCTTTGCCAATTGAGCTTCTTTTGCTAACCCTCGTAGTGCCTCTGAGCTTTCCGCTCCAGTGGCGTCCACGAGCTCAGCCAACACACCACCGCGGATATCTAGCAGTTCTGCTGGAGCACCAAACTCAACTGCCTGGCCTGCATCCATCACCAGACAAAGATCATAATCCATTATTGTTTCCAGGCGGTGCGCAATTGTGATCTTGCGATGCAGTAGAAAGGGACGTGAGGGACAAGTGCCATGTTGAGATTTGATGTACGGCAGGCAGAATTCAGTCAGTCAGTCAGTCATTCACTTACCAGAGTTGTGTTCGGGAAGCGAGTTCGAAGCATCTTCTGGATAAAAGCGTCGGTCTCTCCATCGATACTAGCCGTGGCTTCGTCGAGAGCAAGTAGTTTTGGTTGAGACAAGAGTGCCCTAGCCAAGTTCAGCAGCTGTCGTTCACCAACGGAGTAATTGGACCCTCCCTCCTCCAACTGCGAAGACAATAGTTGCTTCCCATCCTCAGCGTTGCTCGCGCCCAGCCGGACTGACTGCAGGGCTTCCAATATCTCAGCGTCCGTGTGCAGCTGGAATGGGTCCAAGCTCTCCCTTAGTGTAGCTCCAGCCAAGAAGGGGTCCTGGGGGATGATAGACATTCCTCGTCCTCGTACGTCTGATAAACCCAACTGGCAAAGGTCCACTCCATCCAGCAACACTTGCCCGGACTCAATCTCTACCAGACGAAAGAGAGCAACGGTTATTGAACTTTTCCCGGCCCCAGTTCGCCCAACTACTCCGCAAGATTTGCCTGCTGGAAGCTTGAAGGAGAGGTTCTTCAAAACCAAAGGCAATCCTTCTCGATATCTGAGGTTGACATTGTTGAATTCGAGCAAACCCTGCGTTGGCCAAGAAGACGGCGGTTGATGTTCAGCATCGGTTTCCATGGGTTTTTCACTGGGCAGGGATGACATGGCGTCGACCCGCTCAACAGCTGTAATTGCCGCTTCTGCCTCTGCGAATGTATCCACCAAGAAGTTCAGGGTAATGGTGAAGTTGGAACACCACATGATAAGCAGCCCCACCAGTCCAGCCTCTAGCTTCAATACATCGTTCAAGCATACAACCAAGACCGATGAAACCAAAACAACCAGACTCCCCAGCATCTCCATCCTCACGCCCACCCATCTTTGTGCTGAAACAAAGTTTAACAGAGCTGAACTGTTCTTATCCGCAACTCCTCTGTATCGAGTGACAAACTGCTCTTCCTGTTGGAATACTCGAATGCTGGTTGCTCCATCCAAGCATTCACTGACCATTGACTGGAGTGGGGATCGACTTACGGCTTCGATTCTTTGAAGGTCTGGGCCCGATTTTCGGTAGTATAGCATGAGTACCCAGTACATGACAGAAACGGGGACTATGGCTAGCGCCGTCCAGGGCAGAATTGCAATTTGCAGAGCCACCCCGGTTACATACCAGCTGCAGCTCAGCATGAACATGGACATGACTTGACTCAAAGTCACATCATTCACATCCGTGTCAAAAGTGAAACGGTTCAATATTCTTCCCATGGGTACTGGGAGATCCAGGATGAAGCAACCTGTGAGCCTGGTTGCCTCGTTATGGGCGTGACCAATAATTTCAACTCACCAGTTTCAAAATAGGACATTGGAGCTTTCAGGACACTGGATAGCATTGTGTAGAAGACATTCTTAGCAGCACGGACACCTCCAATGGCCCCCCACTCGGCCCGAAAGAAAGCCGCAAGGACAAACAGTAAAATGAGTATCGCGTAGACTTTCAGGTATTGCGCTTGCGCCGACAATCCATCGATCTGAGCTGGGAACTCCATGTTGAATATAGTGACTGGCTCAACAGCACCTTCCGTCCACTTCGCTAGGAACCACTCCACTGCCACGTAGAGAACTTTGTCCACTGCGAAGAGAAGAACCTGCGTCACAAAGAAGCACATCCCTCCAGCTCGACGAAACCACAACATCCATGTACTCAAGCTGGAGATGCCATATTCTCTTTTCTCTGCTTGTATCAGTCCCCCTGATTTGGTCTTTTCATTCTCGTCCTCCGTGGCGGAATGCTGTTGATCTTTGTTCTGTCCTTTCGTCAACTCTGAGTCCAAATCTTCCCCACTTCCCCCCTCATCTTCTCCACCTCGGACCGATGATTTGATATGCTCTACCGCTCGGAGACTGATACAAGCAGAGAAAAGAGAATATGGCATCTCCAGCTTGAGTACTTGGATGTTGTGGTTTCGTCGAGCTGGAGGGATGTGCTTCTTTGTGACGCAGGTTCTTCTCTTCGCAGTGGACAAACTTCTCTACGTGGCAGTGGAGTGGTTCCTAGCGAAGTGGACGGAAGGTGCTGTTGAGCCAGTCACTATATTCAACATGGAGTTCCCAGCTCAGATCGATGGATTGTCGGCGCAAGCGCAATACCTGAAAGTCTACGCGATACTCATTTTACTGTTTGTCCTTGCGGCTTTCTTTCGGGCCGAGTGGGGGGCCATTGGAGGTGTCCGTGCTGCTAAGAATGTCTTCTACACAATGCTATCCAGTGTCCTGAAAGCTCCAATGTCCTATTTTGAAACTGGTGAGTTGAAATTATTGGTCACGCCCATAACGAGGCAACCAGGCTCACAGGTTGCTTCATCCTGGATCTCCCAGTACCCATGGGAAGAATATTGAACCGTTTCACTTTTGACACGGATGTGAATGATGTGACTTTGAGTCAAGTCATGTCCATGTTCATGCTGAGCTGCAGCTGGTATGTAACCGGGGTGGCTCTGCAAATTGCAATTCTGCCCTGGACGGCGCTAGCCATAGTCCCCGTTTCTGTCATGTACTGGGTACTCATGCTATACTACCGAAAATCGGGCCCAGACCTTCAAAGAATCGAAGCCGTAAGTCGATCCCCACTCCAGTCAATGGTCAGTGAATGCTTGGATGGAGCAACCAGCATTCGAGTATTCCAACAGGAAGAGCAGTTTGTCACTCGATACAGAGGAGTTGCGGATAAGAACAGTTCGGCTCTGCTAAACTTTGTTTCAGCACAAAGATGGGTGGGCGTGAGGATGGAGATGCTGGGGAGTCTGGTTGTTTTGGTTTCATCGGTCTTGGTTGTATGCTTGAACGATGTATTGAAGCTAGAGGCTGGACTGGTGGGGCTGCTTATCATGTGGTGTTCCAACTTCACCATTACCCTGAACTTCTTGGTGGATACATTCGCAGAGGCAGAAGCGGCAATTACAGCTATTGAGCGGGTCGACGCCATGGCATCCCTGCCCAGTGAAAAACCCATGGAAACCGATGCTGAACATCAACCGCCGTCTTCTTGGCCAACGCAGGGTTTGCTCGAATTCAACAATGTCAACCTCAGATATCGAGAAGGATTGCCTTTGGTTTTGAAGAACCTCTCCTTCAAGCTTCCAGCAGGCAAATCTTGCGGAGTAGTTGGGCGAACTGGGGCCGGGAAAAGTTCAATCACCGTTGCTCTCTTTCGTCTGGTAGAGATTGAGTCCGGGCAAGTGTTGCTGGATGGAGTGGACCTTTGCCAGTTGGGTTTATCAGACGTACGAGGACGAGGAATGTCTATCATCCCCCAGGACCCCTTCTTGGCTGGAGCTACACTAAGGGAGAGCTTGGACCCATTCCAGCTGCACACGGACGCTGAGATATTGGAAGCCCTGCAGTCAGTCCGGCTGGGCGCGAGCAACGCTGAGGATGGGAAGCAACTATTGTCTTCGCAGTTGGAGGAGGGAGGGTCCAATTACTCCGTTGGTGAACGACAGCTGCTGAACTTGGCTAGGGCACTCTTGTCTCAACCAAAACTACTTGCTCTCGACGAAGCCACGGCTAGTATCGATGGAGAGACCGACGCTTTTATCCAGAAGATGCTTCGAACTCGCTTCCCGAACACAACTCTGGTAAGTGAATGACTGACTGACTGACTGAATTCTGCCTGCCGTACATCAAATCTCAACATGGCACTTGTCCCTCACGTCCCTTTCTACTGCATCGCAAGATCACAATTGCGCACCGCCTGGAAACAATAATGGATTATGATCTTTGTCTGGTGATGGATGCAGGCCAGGCAGTTGAGTTTGGTGCTCCAGCAGAACTGCTAGATATCCGCGGTGGTGTGTTGGCTGAGCTCGTGGACGCCACTGGAGCGGAAAGCTCAGAGGCACTACGAGGGTTAGCAAAAGAAGCTCAATTGGCAAAGACTCAGGTTACAAGCTAGGCTAAGATCTCAATAATATCCCTCTAGCGCACTAACTTGAAATGAAATCGACAATGATCTTTAGCTGGTGGTGAATCACCCAGCTACCAGTAGGCAGGCTGGGTCCCTAACAGGATGCTAAAAGCTGGCTCACAGACCCGACACGTACAATCAAACCAAAAGCTGTTAAGGAGCGGTGGAATTGGATATGCTCTGTGCTCCGGTATCGGTATGTGAAGCAACCATTACACAGCTACCACCACTACATCATTGTTACTTGATACTAGTATCTCTTATTCTCTTGCAAGGGCCAGGCACGAATGTGTAATAGAAGGCTGAAGGAATGGGGCTGCTCCTTCAGGGTGGCGCCATTCCCTTGACAAGCACGGCATGATGTTTCGTGCTGTGGCCAACATTGTGCAGCTCCACATCATGGAGCAGCCATGTCAGGTGACATGACAACAGATCTTTGATTAAATAGTATTACTGTTGCAGCTACTTTAGCATCTTGACGTCACAACCAACGTCAATCGTTGAATCTTGTAATCGTTTTCTGCTCTCCCTAGGTCTGTCCACTTAGCTTCACTGCGAGTCGAATCCTCAGTCGTCTTCTAGTTTTTCCCATCTCACCGTTCTTCCGCTGGGTCTCGTTAAAAGCTCTATGTACTCCTCTTTCGTTGTTGCTAAAAGTATTATCTATTTCTAGTAGACAACTCGTCTTCTTGCTGCTTTGCTTTCTCTTTTCGACCACCTTCTTCTTCCTCCAATCCCATGCATGAATCTTACTAGTATCATGTCATGCACCTTCAAGATCATAGGCCAACGTAACGGCACTGGTGGACACCGATAGTGGTTGTACAGCAACATTGACTGCCCATCTCAAGTCTTGTGAAAGCTTGGATTGGATGATAGGCAAACATTCATCCGTCATGGGAGCCCATTCATCCACGTGCTGCAGCACATCCAAACCGTGTGACTTTCCTTCCCTCCCCAATCATGATGCGCTTGACATTGTGATCCGTGCCGCAATTTGATTGGAATGTCTGGAATTCGTTAGGTGAATGTTTCTTGTTGTCGTCCAAAGCAAACCATAAATAAGCTTCTTTTCCACTATGATCCATCGCTTGGATCAGTGCCTTCCAGTCCTGATGCGATGTCAATGGCACCATCTTTTGCTGTTCCGCCCGTGACCGTGCATCATCGTCGCTAATGCTTGCCAAAAAGTCTGGCCATACAAATGATTCGATAAGTCGCGGCTGCGTGTCATACTGCTCGTACATGTCTTGTAACAAGTGCAACCCCAGTTCCGGTCCAACTCCAGCATCGATCTGCCAGCGACTTGGTGGCTGAATGTATGCATTATCATGATGTTATTTTGGGGAAAGTAGAACGATGCAGAACAAACGATGTTAGGAGGCGACACGAAAACGGCAAGTCAGCACAAGTATGAACTCAAAACGCAAGCAATCAACTACAGGAAGTAACTGCATTAAACGTACATCCGTGTACTGTTCGTACCGTACTACATGTAGTACTTACTCCAAACTCGACGAGCGTGTTTTGAATCCTCTTGGCCGTGAACAGTTGTGCGGCACCTTTGGCAGCCTGTAGTTCAAATCCTTCCACATCAATCTTGAGGAACGCGATATCGTGTTGTGGTTTGCCATTACTACCATCTGATGATGCCGCCACAAAATCTTGGATACGAAAGGCGTGCAGTTGTTCTACTCGTAGTGTTGTATTGGTTCGTTCTCCCTCTCGTACGACAGTGCCCAGCTGTCCGTCCATTTTCTTGGCATGCTTCATGCTAATCGTCTCGTCGTGTTCATCTAGAGCCGCATTGTGATACACCGTGATCCGGTCGGCTACGTTATTCTCTTGCGCCGCTCGGTTTATCAGTTTGCAAAGATTCTGTTGGGGTTCCACGGCAATGACGTCGGCCCCCAGTTTCGCCGCAAACAGTGAATACAGTCCGTGATTCGCTCCTACACCGAGGACCAGTGGCGGGCGTTGCTGTTGTTGTTGTTTTGCCATTCGGATCGCATCTTTCAAAATGGCGTAGCCGTGTATTTCCCGTTGTAAGTGATCGTGCAGCATTCGAATGTGTTTGAATTTACGAACGGCAAATTGAAGTGGCACGCCGTGGATGTCAATGCTATCAAACAACACCGACGATGGATGAGCGGCTTGTGTATATGGGGTTGGCAATGCCACATCATCTCTCTGCACAGTAGTAGTACCAGTATGTGCAATCATGCATTCACGACAGAAGCCCTCCTGCTGGAGAACCATAACCAGCCAATGGTAGCTGCCGTTGCTGCTGCAGCTGTTTGGACACGGAAGGGACGAGCCATTCCACGAAGTACGATACTTGTACTGTGTTATTCAACGGGGTCGAAAAGCTTAAGATTGCCTACTAGACTAGCTAGTATACACTTTACGTATCGTGTTGGCTTTGACTTGTTGCGTGTCGGAAGGAGTGTGAGGTTTGAGGGTTTTTTGTCAATACCAAAGGTACATCAATGGCGACCGCTTGGCTACTTGCAAGACTTTGGAGGTGAGGAGCCATAGAAATCACAACCAGAGAGAGTTTTACCATGGCAGCACCAGTCATACCGGTAGCACTCCATGGCAGGGTGGTCAAATGCTTTCTAGTGTTGAGTTGTTTGTTGTTGTTGCTGCCGCTGTTTTTCATTTTTCGATTTTCGTTATTTCGAATCCGAAGCATGACTCGTCACTCTCAGTTCAAAATTCGACTGAAATTCATTTTTGATGGCAAAATTCATACTTCTACCCATTGTGAATCAGTTAACTCATGCTGTAGAAGAGATATGAATATTATGCTATCGCAATAATGCTTGCATTGATGCCCTCTTGAAAGATACTACTAGCTAGTACATGTAATGATTGTTGGCCCCCACTCTATCGTACATTTCAAAATTCAAGTCTTGCTTCATACCAACGACGGTGTGTGTGGGTTGCGCCACTACTAGTACCCGCCTCCAACAGATCAATTACATGTGGCTATGTGAGTGGTCGTCTTTTTGTTTTTCCCATCTCGCCGTGTCTTTTCCGCTGACCTCTGTGAGCTAATTTGCTGGTGTGGACTACGTTAGCTAGCTAGCTCACACACATGTGGTTCCTTTAAAAGCTCTCGATACTCCTCTTGTGTTGCTATATAATATTATCTATTCCTAGCAACTCGTCTTCATGCTGCTTTGCTTTCTCCTTTCCACCACCTTTCTTTTTCCTCCAACCATGCATGCATGCAATCTTATTTTTTACTGCACCACAATCATATCATCCACCTTCAAGATCATACAAACATTTTCCGTGGCCAACGTGACGGCACTGGTGGACACTGAAAGCGGTTGTACAACATTGCGTTCGTACATGTCCGAGACCCCTTCTACCTTTGTCGTTCCCGTCTTGATTTTCTTGTTCTTGACGACATCGACACCAGC